CTTATACATTTTGGGACAAAATCACGTCTACAACTTTCTAATTTCATGTGCAGGGTATTCATGAAGATCCGGACATACAAAAAGAGTTTTAATGCCCATTATGGTTTATAGAATTTTGTTCCTTATTTATTTTTCTTATAAATTAAGTTAGAAAGGTTTTTGGACTTCCTTGATGATATGATTATTATCAAAAATGTTTGTGAAAATTGAAAATTTGCTATGTTGATAATAAAACGTGGATTTTCTAAACCACTGCATTCTACTACCACTAAAGACCATACTTACTCTTTTCGAAACACCTGACACCAATTTTCTCATGCTTTGGGCGAGATTTTCTATTACTGGAATTATTTTGCTTGTACGGATTTTAACTACTAACACTTAAGTTTGTTTAGAATTTTAACCACATAAAAAGTCGACAATTCTATTACTAGTATAAGGATAACAATTTTCTTCCATTCTAGTTTTTTAGCCATATATTTTAGATATTACAGGAATCCTGAGGGATTCAAATAACGGCCGGAAATACAGCAATATTACTCAAAGTATCCGTTATTCAGGAAATATCAGGAACAAGATATTTCGCAATGACAAATTATGTTTCTAGTCTCTTAATGTGCATCGGGGGCAGTAAATGCTTCTAATTGCACCATTCTGGTTCAGACATCTTTGTTTTCTGTAATTCCCGAAAAACTAAAAGAACCCGTGTACATCTAAATCAGAAATGTCTGATAAAGGACCTTCTTATGCTCTTACAATCTGAAGTTATCAGTTATGATTCATGAGGGTTTAAGTCCTGGTTTAAGATAAGAATAATCTTTATTGGTTATATCATAAAATCAACAAATGTAATTTCTTCACCATCGATTGACGTATTTGATTTAATCTAGTTGGGTCACTTGACATCATACCATCTGACCTAGTCCTTATCACAACCAGATTTATAACGTCCTTTACGTCAATTTTGAATACAATAGAATGCATTTCTGTGACATTTTTAGCCATTAAGGCATTAAGGCTGCTTTCAAACGTTAAGCTTTGTCTTCATTAGACCAATTAGGTGCAAAAAAGCAGGACGTAAAACTCCATCCATTTCATTTTCAAACTTTAAGCACTACATAACGTAAACGTTTTGTTTTCATCTTGTGAATGTATGGCTTGCTAAGTTCTTCGTGGTGTCAACTAGAAAGTAGAATCCCATAACATACAATGCGCCATGGAAATAATAAACTTATTAGATGTTACCAAAAAGAATTTAAACCCAAAAAGGGTCTGTGTAACATTTGCCTCAAAGCAATAACACTTTGCATGTGTTAATTCAGGTCCATATTGTTCAGAATTGTTTCCAACTTATTCGGAACTTGCTTTGCCTTTTCACATGATCACAGAAAGGCTAGGGATTATAGTTAACATACCTACACCTGCATTACCGTTAGTAATTCTGATAATTTGTATAAAAACGTTAAATTCCCAAACTACCAAAATAAAAACTTACAAACACATACTAATGCTAGTAAAATCAAAGGTCAATTAGTAACGTTTATTTTTAATTAATTGAATAACAAAGTTTTAATTGGATTCTAACGATGACTGATGCAACATGGCGGCCCTGTTCAAACATAACGTCTTGTCAAGATTACATAGAGACACGACATCGATCAATGTTCTAGTCTCTTTAATGTCATTGAAGGTTAATCTCTAATTGATACAGCCTGTTAACCAAAACGCCTAAATTTTGCCTGTAGGGACGGATGACTTTTGTAGTGTCTATCGGTAGGCCATTATGAATCAAAGTCTGAAGTTTCACATATTGAATGTTTTTTCTTCTATACGTTGTACTATGATCGCTTCGGATATTACGTGCATATCAGTTATCATGTTCTACCGTGAAATTCGAATTTAAAAATCTTCTCTGATACAGTCTACGCATTTCGTCATTAGGCCCAAAATAATTCAACTGATTTTGCCAATCTCTTGAGGTTACAGACCGTTTTTGCGACAGGTAAAATCTTATAGCAACTGGCTTTTCCATTCTTAGCAATTGATCGACATCCGGGACAATCCGACTACTAGCTGTATTTAGACGACCTTCGGGTGCCATTGTTCTAATTTCTAGCATTGTTGTCACCTAAGCTTTCGAACTTTAGAAAAATACAGTTGATCGTAGTTGCTAGTAGCCGGTCAGTATTTCGATTTGAGCGTTTCGTTCGCATGGGCTGCGTCGGATCTTATTAAATGCTTTGAATCGCCAGTCGATCTGAAAAAACTGAAGTTTAACTTTCTCTGCATCTGATTGGGCTAACGAAGACGGGCAACGCCATGCATTGAGCAATAACGGAGATTTCTTCCAGGACATCGGCTTTGGCTTTTTCGATTTCAAGCCGTTAAGGGATCTTAAGAGTGCACAGCCTGTAGTCCCACCGACTAGACGGGTTAAATAACTAGATCTGAGCCCACCCTGACAGCACTAAATAGGCCTACAATATGCAGAGGTGGAACTTTGACTTTGAAATCTTCTGAATTGGTCCCTCAAATGTCAAACTCAAAGAATCCAATTCTCATTTTGATCTAAACTATAAGTCTACCTTTAAATATATCTAACTCTATTGAGAATTCTCACACAATGGTTTAGCAGCCTCACGGCTAACCGGAAATAATATAACAATTGTAAATAATATTGTTACGGCTGCATTTAGAAACCACACGAACATTGTCAAAGTGACATTTAACTCTGTAATTATAAAACAATATACACGTCTCGACTGTCGTCTGTCACTCACTAGACTCTCATCTTTTTGATGTTTCATTATTAAGACATGCATCTTATGATAATTTTATCATATATAGAACAGGACACTCCTTTTACTATAAAAATAAGCTTATTTAGGCTTGTCGCCTTGCCGCACTAATTCCATACAAAATGGGGGGCTTTAATGTATAATATCCATAAGCGACATTTTTGGGAAGCTATCACCCTTCAATTACGGAGCACCATTTGTATGTTATACTACTCCTGGGTTTTATTGTACACAACGTTTCATTAATTAACATTGTTATCATCAGTTAGATTTTATGGTATACTACTCCTGAGATGTATTGTACACAGCGATTCAACAATTTACATTGTCATCATTAGTATACTATAAAATTGTGTTGTCCATTTTGATGCATAACCATAGCAGTAGCGTTTCTACGTGGGAAGGCTGGACCTAGGGACCAGGGGTGACAGTCCCCCCCCCCCCACCACCCAGAAAAGAGGATTATCCACCTTTGACAAACCCCACCCCCCAATCATTTTACATACCCCCATTTGGAACATTTTGTGGCCCGTCCTCGCCTAAAAGCGCAATTGAGCTATAACTATCTGTATAATTTTCAACAATGAAATTCAGACGTCCGGTTCTTATGCAATTACATAAAAAAAAGATTCTGGCGGAAGTACCGACATTCAAGTTCCCAGGACGAAATTGACATTCACTCACGGGTATATAAACTATATACTGACGTCATTGTGGAAATAATGATCACGATTGTCGGCTCTTTTTATCAATAGGTGTGATAAGCATGTTTGCATTCTGAATGTGATAGGTATAAATAGCTAGAAATTGGGTTATTTCAGTTGGTAGATCATTTATTTTGGAGTACTGAGGGATTAAGTTTTGTATGGTCATGTATATTGTTGGTACCCATACTCGTTTTTGTCCCTTTAAAACATTATTGTACCCCAACGATATGATTTTTTACGTTTTTGCCCGAAAATATGTGTCAGAATGCACCCAATCAATTTTATTGTTCAAAAATTTACCAAAGGGAGAACCATCTCCATTTCCCGACTAACCATTTCTACAGAGCTACTGCATTTTGAATCCAAAACTCGACCGATGTTCCCCAATTCATTCTACCCCCAAATTGTATCCACAGTCTTTGGAGGCTGCCGACGACACTGATTGAGATGTGATTTTTTTTTTTGCAAAATAACCTTGGTTTGTCGTGTACTGTCATGTCATTGTGTAATCTTATCACTAAATAAATAAATAGGCTACAATATATTTATTATTCCGTGCAAATTTATAAGACTAAAGCAGATCTACATATATATGGGGTTAAAAGTTTGAATGAATAACGTCTTAATAGTTGAGCTTTATAGACTGAAAAGTAGGTTACATCCGGGGTTTAACGCTTAGATGAAGGCTTCATCTGGCATTAACAGTTAACTGATCATCTTTGTTTCAATCAAATCAGTATCTAGATTAGAACAACATTATTATCTAATCAATGTAACTCTATTATCATGATCACTTATAGCTGAAAGTGTTATAATTCACCAATATCAGATACTCCACGAGATACGCAGTTCCCATCTGTAAGAGTGTCTCCAGAAACGTGGATTTTCATTCTTGTTTCAGGTGGCAATTGTTTAAAGTGTATTGTATAGATTGATAGCGGTTTGACAATAGAAAGGCACAAAATATGCTTTTGGGGTATCATAAAAGTATCTTTGAAGATAGGCTGCATCAAAGATATCCAAGAAGAAGTATGTAAAGAAAAAGTTTTGATATAATATTCTTAGTTACTGATAGAACAGTTTATAATATACATTTCTCAAAAAAAGATGAGTTCAATACTATAGTTTAAGATAGAGTTGACAGAAAAAAGAGTGGAAATAGAAAAAGGTTACCGGTATAGTAAAGATGATAGACATGTGGGAAACAGTTTGGCTTTGTATCCCAATCTTACCCCCACTTGAGTTCTAAAGAATTTTAAAAAATAAGCTTAACATACGTTTTTGCATCAAAAAATGCGCCAGAATGCACAAATTCTGATGATAGAACAGTTGGACGACACCGTCTTTTAGTTCAAATGATTTTAGTTAGTATATCTTTT